TATATATATATATATATATATATATATATATATGTCAAAATCTCTTTGTAAAACCATTTGAATGTCAATGATATAAATAAATAATTTAAAGTTTGCTTTTCATCACTTGCATCTTGCATAATAGCCACTATTTCTTATTTTTTATGAATTTACTATTAGATTAGATATCTTAATTTAAACAACACTTATTGTTTTTATATTATAATGAAATCATTAAGAACTTAATGAGTAGTTATGCAGCCTAAGCAACATCTTTAAAGGGCTTCTAATTAGGTTTGTATTAATAGAAAGTAAGATCAGTGCTCTAAGTTTTTTTGAGAAATTTTAGAATTTTTGTGTCAATATAATTTAAGTTTCTCTATTTTATTTATTATTATACAATTTTTGTAAAAGAGCATCTATTATTAATGCTAGAGTAATATATTTATTTAAAATAATTAAAAAATTTAACAGTCATTGATTAGCACATATTTGATTTTGTTGACAGGTTGAGAAACCTGTAACTGAGGGTCTTAGTCATCGCACACGAGATCAATGGGAGATTGATCGTTCTTCTCTCAAATTTGTAAGAAAATTAGGCCAAGGTCAATTTGGTGAAGTGTGGGAAGGATCATGGAATAATACAACTGCAGTGGCAATAAAAACACTCAAACCAGGAACTATGGATCCTAAAGATTTTTTAGCAGAAGCACAAATCATGAAGAAACTTCGTCATGCAAAATTAATTCAATTGTATGCTGTATGCACTTTAGAAGAACCCATTTATATTATCACAGAATTGATGAGGAATGGTAGCTTGTTAGAATATTTGCAAGGTAATAAAATTATTCTATTTAATTATTTATATTTCTTTATATTTATTTATATTTATTTATTCATTTATATATATTATAATTTTTTTTAATAGGAAAAGGAAAAACATTAAATCTACAACGATTAATTGATATGGCTGCACAAATTGCAGCAGGTATGGCTTATCTCGAATCACAAAATTATATTCATAGGGATCTAGCTGCTCGTAATGTGTTGGTAGCAGAATTAAATGTCGTGAAGATAGCAGATTTTGGTTTAGCTAGGCTAATTAAAGAAGATGAATATGAAGCCCGAATAGGTGCACGTTTTCCAATTAAATGGACTGCACCTGAAGCTGCAAATTATAGTAAATTCAGTATTAAATCTGATGTATGGTCATTTGGGATTCTTCTTACTGAATTGGTTACTTATGGAAGAATACCATATCCTGGTAAATAAATTTTCAAATAAAAATTTTTTATATTTGTAAAAATTTAAACAAAAATATTTAATTATTTTCAAGGTATGACAAATGCAGAAGTTCTTCATCAAGTAGAACATGGCTACAGAATGCCATGTCCACCTGGTTGTCCAACTGCATTGTATGATATTATGTTAGAATGTTGGAATAAAGATCCAATGAAGAGGCCAACTTTTGAAACATTGCAATGGAAACTGGAAGATTTCTTCACTATGGAAGGTTCTGAGTATAAAGAAGCATCTGCATATTAAAGTACTAAAACATTTTATAATTCTTGATAATTTCGTTAATACTTATTGACAAGATATAATAGATAATCTTTACGAATGAGCAACGAGATAGATGCAAATTATTATTAACAATTATATTCAGAACGCGGATGTTTGTGATATTTAAGAGTATACTTTATATTAAAAGACAGTCTTCTTTTTATAAAATATGAATGATATCATTCATTTTTTTAGCAATACAATTATTGCTTTTGTTATATATTCTGGCTGCCATAAAATTGTAGAACAATTTTGTCAATTCATAATGATTATATATAAACAAACATTGAAACGTTAATTAATTGTTTTTAAGAAACAGTAGCGTGATTTACATTTTATTTTAAAAAATGACATTTTAAACGTATAAATGTATTGTTATTCAGCACCTTTTGAACAATATCTATGGGAGTTAACATTTTATAATTATAATTAAAAATTTATTATTTACAAATCTATAATGCAATTTTCAGAAATATTGACAAATTTAATGCAGTTAAAAAAGTATAGACAATTCATTTAAATTTTCTAAGGAATGATTTATTAGAAACTTGAAGTATTTACTTACAATAAAAAGGATTATTATCCATCTTGGCTCATCATTCCTTCTCTTATATATGTATATGTATTAAAATATATATATATATATATATATATGTTTGTATAAACATATTTTTATTACTATCATAATTGTTAATTTGTTTGTTATCAAAACTTGCAATTATAGTACATTTTATGTTTAAAATTTATCTTAAAAATAATGTGTTAGAAACTCAGAAATGACTTCTTTATAATAGAAATATAAGACTTCTTGTCAATATTTATTATAATTTATATTTTTTTTTATTTTTTTCTGATTATGTTAACTCTTTGTTATTTTTAAAAAAAGCACATATTAACTAGAAGCAATGTATCTAATATAAAAATTATTCCTAATTGTTCATAAAAAATATAATACATGTGTAAGATAACATAAGAAAGTATACAAGAGTATTAATATTATTAGTAAACTATTAATATTTGAATTTTTTATTTAAAAATATAAAATAGGTTATAGACTTAAAATTCCAAATTAGTATTCATTGCTATATGTTATTCATTTGATTATATTTTCATATTAATACAATTTAATTTTTATTTTTAAACTCAAATTTTTCATTTTTATATATTTGTACACTAGGCATTATCTTATTAATTTATTAGATTTACAAATTTAATTTTGTATCAATACTTCTAAAAAATATAAATTCTGAATTAATATACAATGATACAATTTTTATAAATTGCATTAAAATCGTTCATAACTTTTTGGTTTTCATAAAGAAACTTAAAGTAGATAGATTAAGCATGTTATGTATTAGCTTATTTACGTTTACATTTATATTTGATGCTATATTTATAAATGTTTACTTTCTTTTTTAAAAATTTTCATCACTTTTGTATAATGTGAATTTTATAAAATCCTATAAAAAAAGTTATTTTTTTTTTAAAAAGACATTAAGATATTATCTATCTATAAAATGGACATATTGAATTTATAATATTTTCTTTCTTATTCTAGTGGATATACATAAAAAAAATTATCAGAAATAAAAAACATTTGTCTAGTCAGAGACCACTATTTTATTGTGAAAACTTATGCTGTTAAATACATTTATATCATTCTTTTTGTAAAGACATATAAGATATACTGCCAAATAAGCATAAAAAAACAACTATTATATTATTATTATCACACTTAAAAAAATTAATTTGAAAAAAAATAGTATAACAAAAAATATCATCATATTGTTAAATAAAAAAAAATTTTTAAATTTAATTGTTTCTGTGGTCATCTGATGATTAATTAAAAGTATTTTTTTGTATTATTTCAAAAAATTAAATCTGATAGTAAATAGTATTAAACTGTGTGATGATAGTAAGAATTTAAAGAATCATTTATGTAGGTTGTCAGACTTTGTACAAAAATAAATTTTTATATAAGCATATATATTTATATTTTGTACAGTTTTATTTGATTGTAATGAAAGAAATAATCTTTTATATGTATAAATTTCAGTGAAGCACAAAACATTTACATGATTTTTATACAGTAAGCACAATAATTTTTTCACGATTTTTTCAACTAAAAAAAACAGAGAATATACTGGTATATAAGTATTAATTGTGTGAAATAAATCATATAGTTTTAAAAATAAATAATAAGAACTATGACATCGTTAACGAAATAGTATTATCGTTAATAAAATTGTTTATATATAAGTTTATTATGTCATAATTATTATATTATATGCAAGTTTATAATTTTGTATGTATACATAAATATATATAGTATATATGTATAAATATTATATAATTACATATAGTACATACATATTCATATCGTGCGCGTGCGCATTTGTATGTGCTTAATGTATGTATATATATAAATATATATGTGTATATATGTATACATATAGTACATACATGCATATTTAAAATATTATAAAAACAATTTATCTCTTGTTTGTAATTTTTACTGTTCCTTATCTTTCTTTACTTCTTTTGAATATCTATAATTTACTTACAGATAATACACATGTATATGTTTTCTATAGATTAAATTACAATTTAATCATATTTTAATATATCTTTTTATATTCAATATATTTTAAATTTTATTTTATTATTTCGATTAATTATTTTTGATATTATGTATATTATTTGATAATATACACAATCTATTTTGGAGATATATTTATGATAAACATTTTATATATGCAATATTTTACTGCATGTATTATATCAAATAGATAAAAAAATTGGAAATTATATATAAAATAATAATTTTAAAAATATATAATTTATACAAATATTATTTTTCAAAATTATAATTGAACTCTATGGATTATTAAATATGTAAAATTTTTTAAAATTTTATTTCAATTTTTTAACCTTGCTTCAATAGTTGGCAATTGATTCTTGATATGAAATAGAAATATCACTAGGGAAAATTACTAAGCAGTAAGTCTCGACAGGTGTTTTGTACAGGTGTTCAGTCGGACAGTGGCGCGTATTCGTGTGTTCAGTATATACCTTGTTTGCTCGGCACAATAAAGTGTAATTGATATTGAACAAATACAAAAAAAAAATGTGAAATTTTTCATTTAAAATTTTTAAAAATGTCTCGGTTATGGTGTGATATGATAGATTCGAAGTATCGTGAAAGGTGATCGTTATTAAGAATAATATTTCCATACGAAAGATCAACGGCAGACATCGTGGGATATTGCAGTTGGATATTATGCTAATCACGTTACGATCAGAATGCGAGAAGAAGAACTTGAGATATCACTCAAGGTGATCAAAAGTTTAATTTTCATTTTTAATATTTTTTAATATTATATATTTTCATTTAATATTTTTATATAATGATATATCACATTTTTATATCAATATATCATTATATTTATTTACGTACATTATATTTTTAATAAACGAAATATAAATTTACACATTTTTAAATATTAAGAATTAATAATTAATTAAAAAAAATAGATTATTTATGCATATTATATATAGCTTACTTATATATACATTTATTGTTCTCAAAGTAAAAGATAATAAAATTATATTTAAAATCAAATATTAATAGATTTTGAGTAAAACTATTTTAGTGAGATTTATATTAAATTTCAAATCAAATTTCGGAAATGCGTATGCGCAGTAACAAACTGCATTACGAATATACATATAATGTAGCGACCGGCTTATTACATTTTAGGTTAAGTATAATATTTTTTTATTTCTATCAATAATTAAATAAGAATGAATAACAAAAATAAATTATGAACAAAAATATAGAGAAATAGAAAAATATATATATACAAAAATTATTATGTATGTATGTTAATATAATATAATTTCAAAAGTAAAATACTTACAGAAATGGCATTTGTTTTAAATAGAAACTATATTTATTTTAAATTTATAATATCTAAAAAGTTCAAATCATTTTTAAACGACTTCAATAATAGAAAAATTAAAAAATAATATTAATATGTACAAATAAAAGAATATGTATATTTTTATTTTTCAGAAATTATAAAAAAGAATATATACAGATATATAGATGTATTTGTATAACATCATTTAATTTTGCTTCATTAATTGTAATTTCTTATTCGATTATAATGGTATCTATTGATATATTTTCATAAATAGATAGATATATGTTCATAAATGATTACTTTTAATATTCTTATTGTCTGCACTTGAAACAATCAATGCGTGCATGCATATGTCGTTATATTTTATTTCGTCATAAAAAAAATAATTCACTTATTAATAGAATGTTATTATATTTAAAATTACGATGTATTAACAATTAACATTACAATTTATTATAAATATAACAGTAGTAATAATTTATTTCATATAATAATAAATTTAATTTATTAAATATTTTCTATTTTAATTTCTATTTTGATTAATTTAAAATTGTTTTTGAATATTATATGAATAATATGAGTATAATTTTTTTGATTGTTTTCATTAAAATTTATTAATAATAAAATGCTTTTTATAATCGTTATTATAATAACATACATGTAGTTCTTTTTTTTTGTCAGTATATTTAGATCTTTAATTATGTAAAATATGATGCTTTATAGTTTTTTATATTTAAGTAAAATAATAAAAATTAATTTTAAAAAATTAATTTTAAAAAATACTTCTTATTTAATTTAAAAAAATTTTAATCTGATTTAATTATTTTAAATTCTATCGTGTTATTCGAATAACTAATAATCTTTTAATTGAAATATAAAAATATAGAAAAAAATTATTTTTCCATTTGAAAAGTTTTCAGAAAGAATTGATCGCATGATTGCATATTATTTTTTCCTACTTTCTTTTATGGTTTTAAGTGATAAATTCATAAAAATGAAATTATTAATACAATTAAATTGCTAACATCATTTAAGATTAATTATACTTTTTCTAATATTTTAATTAATTATACTTTTTCTAATATTCAACTATAAAATTATCAGATTATATGAGAAACTCATGAGAAAATTAGTTTAATTGAAATATTCGTCTTCAATAAATGTTTCAGAATTGTGTTTAGAAATTATAATTATTCGGATCTAAAGAAAAAATACTCATTAGTTATATAATGTTTTAAATTGGTTAAATCGTTTATGGTAAATACTAAAAAAATTGATATATATTCTCTATCGGAATATTTTCTGTGAAAGCTCACACTTTACGATAAAAGTTTCAAGAATATATATTATGACGTTTTTTTTTCGATCTATATATATAATACAATATAAAATGTTTACTTGTACAATTTAGTATGGTCATATTTAAAAATAATTTTACAATATTTTATCAATATAAAATAATATAATATATTTAGATTTTAGAATGATAATCGATGCGATAAAAATATCTTTCATATTTTACATATTTTTATAAATAGTAAATATGATAAAAATTATAAAAAATGATTTGTTTGCTAAATTTAAATATTATCTTTATTTTATTAAATTGTTTAATCTATGAATATATTTTAATTTAAAAGTTTATTATTATAAAATTACAAAAAAATATTTTATGCAAATGTTTTATTAAAAAAATTTAAATAACTTGTTGTTTTCTTCAGGATATTATTTTCTTCGTAAAATTTTAATGACTATGTATAGATTAAATATAAAAATTATTTTAAGTTTAATTAAAAAACATTTAATTTCAGAAATTATATTGAATTATATTAGCTTTAAACAATATTATTACTTCATTACAATGTTGTTCCGAAATTCAAATAAATATATAAATATTCAATATATTATATATAGAAATTATGCATAAATCTTATTGATGTTATTTCAAATTTTTGATAAATATTTTTAATATGATATTTGCATTTTTTATATTAAATTTATCATTAATATTATTAATATTTAATTTTATGAACATTATGTTTATTATTTATGTTATATCCGATTTTACATATATATAAATGCACGTATATAAATTTCAACAAAAACTCGATCTCGAGAACCGATTCACATAGACTTAGGCCTTTATCGATTTAACCTATTTCTTTCTTTAGGAAAAACCGTTATCTCGATTTTGGTAGAATTTTTTAAAATATTTTAACGAACATAATTTGTTAGAATTTTAAAATTTTTAAGAATTTTAATTTAATATATACACAATATACTGTAAAAAAATATAAAATGGAACTTTTAATGACATTTTATTCGTTAAAATCGGTTATTGAACCATTGCATATAAAATTATCTTGTTTAATGATGATTAATAACTTGCATCATCAATAAAAAATGATAGCACATCTTTGATATTGATGAGAATATGTTCATAATGAAGTGTTTCCTTTTTCTTTACTTGAAATTATAGTCGACTAATAACTGTACATGAAAAACTGTTAATCAACCTGAAATCATAAAATATATTTACACATGGCTTAACTAAATTTTCTTCCTCGTTTTTTACTTGCTTTTATATTTTCATATTCTCTGTGTTTCGAAGACTAAACGATTCTTGTTTTATTGATCATTCTATTTAAATCATTATATTCATTAATAAAAGAATCTTTTATTCTTATCTTCTCAATATATGGTACCGATTCTTATGAATATTATTATTTATCATATTCGATTGATTTATAACAATACTAATGACAATATTGAATGCAATGATATTCAATATTATCCACATCATTATTATGTAGAATCGTATTTAACAGTAGAACATATTCTATAAAAAATTCTAATAAAAAAAAAAAACAATGAAACATGCTATGTAATGAATTTTAATATTTAACAATATTACGAATATGTCTTACATAATTTTTGATTGAAAAAGATCTCTTTATAATATTCTTATTGATTGTTTAAACGATTCGTGTTTAAACCTGTTTTTTATTTTGTATTTCTGCAATCAAATGATATATTGACTTATTGATCGACGAAATGTAATTTCGATAACAAAGATATATCATTTTTATAGAATTAAATTTATTCCCTTATTAATAATAATTTTTACAAGTATATTACTGTTTAATATCTGCTGATATTATCTTTGTTGACATTAATTGTTATAATTTTTTGTTATCATTATATTATATATTTATTATTATTTCATTATATAAATTTTATTTTTTATTTTATCTAAAAAATTTCATTATAAAATTGATATACTTTGAATGAATAATTTATATTATATACTCTATTTTTATATCGCTCAATCATTTTATAATTGATTAATAAGAAAGTTGCGCGAGAAAATAGTTATAGGATGCTCTATGCTCTTTCTTGCTCGTCTCGACCTACAGGTTTTAGAAAGTTCATCTTGAGATGATCGTACACATACGCATGATATCTTCTGTATAATTTGAAATTGCCCATAATGATGGATAATACTCATGGAATTGTTTGCAACAAAATTTATTAAAATCGATGATACAAATTTTAATCGAGAGAGTTTTAATCAGAGAGCATCAAATGCATATAGAAATCTTTATTTACAGGTGGTGATAGTTGGTAATGGAGCTGTAGGAAAATCGTCAATGATCCAAAGATTTTGTAAAGGTACTTACACAAGGGATTATAAGAAGACGATTGGTGTGGACTTTTTGGAACGGCAGATCGAGTAAGTAAAAATAGAATAAAAAAAATCCTTTATCATTTTTTAATAAAACTATAAAATTAATTACATATAAAAATGATCATCTATGTTTAACACTTTAAAAATATCAAGAACGATGAATTATATTAAAAGCTTTTCTTTTTATTATAATCAAATTATCGCAGAATCTTTATTAGGTCAATCGAGAAAAATTTGTTTAAACGAGCTTCGTGGTTGTAACGGTGTTCATACCTGTTTGGATGATAAAAAATGTTTTACCCATCTTGCTCACCTCGATTACTAACCTCGATGAAAAAATTCATCGTAATATTTTTTTATACTATCTTATAGGCTTTTTTTGCATATAAAACATAGTTGGTATGTAAAATACATAATGAAATTCCTTTGAAAACTCGATCTAATTTATTGCTCGTATATTATTTATATATTTATATATATATATATCAGGCCTTGATATAATTGTTTTTTCAGAAAACTCTTATATATATTTACGAATATGGTCGAAATAATTATACTACGCATAAGTACACAATATAAGGAAAAAATCATAAAGAACTGAATATTTATTTTTAGATAGATTTTCATATCTTTCTATATATTCGAAAAAATTATCTCACGAATGAACGAGAATATTAATATCGAATGAAAGGTAAAAATTCGTTTTCGCGCTACGTCGGTCGATAATTAAAGACCATGTTAAAGGAGAATGTACAATAGGCATATTCTGCTTTACATGTATACATGTTCTTCAAGTTAATTATATTATATAAAAATGATCTTCTCTTCTTCTTAATCACGGATTTATCGTTTTCCAAAAAACTAATAAAATGATTTCCTATTACTCTTTAGCTTCAATTTCAATTGTGAAAATTATTATTAAAGTTAATAGCATATCTAATTAAACGGTTATTGGATTTATTTAATGTTATTTATAATATGTTCCCATTATTGCTTCGATTATTAAAAAAAAATTATTTTTATTTTAAAAGTAAATATATTCTAAATGTATATCTTTCTTATAAATTTTTCTAATAAATTGTTTATTTTATAAGAATACAATTAAACGAAATATATTTTATATAAATAAATTTTATATTATTTTCTATTTATTTATATTATATTATATATTATTTATATATTAAATCACGAATCATTCTTCAAATTAGTTCACAATTGGACGAATATTTTAATAAGATTAATTAGACCTTCAAAAATTCTTATACAATTAAAATTACATTACGAATTCATTGTTTCTTAAATATCAAATATTTTACGTATAGACAGATGGTAAAACATTTTTCTAAGAACAAGCGTATGTTTCTAGGTCCTGAGAAAAACGCATGTTATTCGTCTCGACATGAGCTATCGTGGGATACTTCTGCACTGATACTGATGCACATTTGCTCCGCGATAATCGTGATCGCCTTTTTAAGAAGACTTTAAACTACTTTTTGCATCTCCTTTCTTTTAGTGCAATAGCACGAAAGTAAAAAACGCAGTCGGAAAAAATTGGCAAATCGTTTAAAAGGTCTCTAAACGAGACCAATTATAACACAGCACAGTTTAACAAACAATTCTTAAAATATTTTATTAGTCGACTAAGATCTAGTTGAATGATAATTTGAAATCATTGATTTCAATTATGTTTCTCGAATTAATGAAAGTATTGTAACTGTAAATCTTTGTAAATCTAAATAATGAATTGAAGATCGGAATTAATTCCGGAATTAAATCAAATAACGGAATGCTAAGATGTTCAATCTTGCGCAAATCTTTATGGACTTGTTTGAAAGAAACGCGGTCGAGTTTTCTCTTTTCCCTTTTCACACGTCTTAAGTAGATCAAGGATTTTAAGTCAGACAGGTATTTTGCAATATCGGTACAAACTTTTAAAATTTTAAAAAAACTTTCCAATACTATGCTATGCATATATTTCATAGATTCTTTTTTTTTTTTTTTTTGTTAAAAAAAAAAATAAAAAGAACGTTACAAATTCATATATATATATATATAATGTATTATACATTTCAAGTATAATATACCGCTACCGATGACCTTGGTCACGACAGCCTTTCATCCAACTTTATTTAATTTGCACGTTCTACATGTACATATTCAGTCGGTTGAGAAATATTTTACAGTCAAACTTACATGCATGTTCTCAATGATTTTACGCACAAATTCTATAATTCGATAATATTAAAAAAAAAAAAAATCTTATTTTCTTATTAATAAGATCGGAATACTTATTCTTTGTTTCATTATCTAAAATGTTTAATCTCATACTTCTTTTTAATGCATTTTTATCTATCTAAAAAAAATATCGTTGATGAAAATATGTCAAAAGAAAAAAGATACGTATATAATTTCTAGAAGAATACTAACGATATTTAGTGGTCATCGAATTGAACCTAGCTGACAGAAATTCTCCAGTAAGATATATATGTAGCACATTAGGAATGCTATGTAAAAAGCCATATACGTATAAATCATTCCATTATCTGTTCTGATTTACGAAGCAGTGTCTATGCTATATTTTCAGGAGGTTGAACGTGTTGTAAATCATTTTAATCGATTCCTATTCACAAAATATCAAGAAGATAGAGAATTAAAATGCCTTCGAAATATAATAGAAATCTATTTATTAAATTTTAGTTATCTGATCAATTTGAACTTTTATCGATTGAATCTAATTATTCATGAGTATTTATATTATTTGAATAGAAAATAAAAAAATAATATAGACCATTTAAAAACGAAATTGATCAATTCCATTTTTTCTGAAAATTCTTAATTTTAAAATATATGATTTCGAAAATTTTTCCAAATATCCTAAGAAAAATAAGAAAAATAATCTTGTTATTTTACAGGGTGGATGGAGAGGATGTAAGACTGATGCTATGGGATACTGCTGGTCAGGAGGAATTCGACGCAATCACTGCGGCTTATTATCGCGGCGCCCATGCCTGCGTCCTCGCTTATTCAGCGACCGACAGAGATTCCTTCGACGCCATTCCTTCGTGGAAACAGAAGGTACGACTCTCGTGCACACGAGACATATACACTATGCTGAACCGGTGCAAGCACGTTTCCGTAGGTAGTCACGATGGATGGTGGAATGTGAAAGTGAAGGTGCCATTAAAGCAAGGGGCTGATTTTAAGTCGTTCCACGGCTGAATATTTCTACAGATAGCAACACACCAGTCTTAGATTGTTTTGCGAAAATACGATTCTTAGAATCATGTTCTGTCTAAAAGAGAATCGGTTAGAATAGATATAAATTTATATTTAGTGAAATTTATGGCTCTTATTTTTAATCTTATTTCATTAGAACATTATACCGAGTAATGATTTTATTTTTTGACTATCCTATTGCATATTCTTTAATCAATATATTCTATATAAATAATTGTTAAATTATTTTTTGAAACATCATATTTTATTTTTATCAAATAAATTAACATAATTTTAAATGATTTAA